GCTTTCAAAGCACGAAGACCGTCGAGCTTTTTGAAAAGGAAGTAAACAAGCCAGACTCGACAAGCCATTCTTTTTTCTTTCTGTAAGCGTTAGGGAGGGTGGCGCGCACAGTTTAACGAGCAAAGCAGCATCGCACGCGTAGATACATCTTCGAGAGAGAAACAACTTTATTCATAGCATAGCAAGGTCGGTAAACTTAATTTGCCGGTGGTTCGAAGGGTGGTGGCCGAAAGCTTGCCACGACAGTGTCGGCTCAGTTAACCACTTCTGCCTGAAGACGGTAGTCGGCTGACGACAGGAGCGACTCGCACGACTCGAGGGAGGAAGCTGGCAGTATTGTTCTTGGTGGGGGGTTACCCTCGATTCCCAAAGAATGTGATTTTGGGTAGCTTTTACGCAGCTGCAATGTCGGCAGTTTGGTACATCTTCGACGGGTCAATCACAGGCTGATTGAAATGCAACTGGCGTTGTCCCTCCACCGGGGCCTTTCCTCCTGCATCTGTCTATAGTGGTAATTACCAGGAAAAAGAGGCGCGCCACGGCAAAGCTTTATAGGCACACGTAGTTGGACGCTGTCTTGTCTTCTCGTGAAGGCATTCAATATGGTACGAACAATGTTCAAGTGAAGCTATAGGCATTGCCTAACCTGTGCACCTGATGATGTTGCGAGAAGTTCCTACCTACTCACAGATGGCGCGCAACAAAAAAAATAATAAATGAATCAAAGTATTTTTTAAGTGGGAAGCATTGCTTAGCCAACTTCGGCGATTTTGGGCGTATCTATCTATCTAGCCGCCTACGACTTTTAGCTCTCCTGGCTGTTTCGATACCAGGTATCGATACCAAACTTGGTATGGCATAACATGACTGTATGAATAACATATTTGACTAGTCAAGACATGAAAATCATGACATGTCATGAATGTCATGATTTACATTTCATGGTCCTGCAACTGTGGTGGTGGTTTCGTTGACATGGCATGTTGCAAAACTGGTATGGTATGACGTGATTGCATGCCGAACACAAGCGACAGAGCCTAACTTGAAAATCCTGACACGCGTGTCATGTAACAACATGACTACATGCCACGCTCATGATGCACTCGCGGCCGTTTCGCTAGCGTCACATATACCAAATTTGGTATTATGGTCCGTGAATGAATGACGAAGGTATTTGACTGGTGCAAACATGATAAATCAGGAGATGCGTGTCATGTAAGAACATGGCTACATGCCACAGTCAAGGCGCCAATACATTTCGACGTGACGGGGTGCGCGTGCTCGCCGGCGTTCATTTCGTCGCGTCACGCCGGCGTTGCCACGCCAGGCGCCGGTCCTGCCTCGCTGGTGCACTCTGCGCTGCGTTGTTTTGACGCATGCGCGTTTCAGCGCATCCAGCGTCCCTACGTCACGAAAAGAGGGAGACGCAGTGCTGTCTGGGTAACGCATCGGCGCGAAATGCAGCATGGAGCATTTCGCGCCGGTTTGCCGTTGGGCCTCGCCGACGGACGCTGGTCGCGCCTGGAATTTGACTTAAGAGTTCTCGCGTTTTGCTAACGCTGCGTCGCTGTGCCCAGCGTGCGCGCGCGTCAATGGTAAATAGGAGTATATTGGGCCCTCCATGATGCGCTCGCGGCAGTTTTGCTAGCTCCATATACACTAAACTTGGTATCACGTGACGTGAATAGATGACGAAGGCAAACGACACATCTAAACATGATAATCGTGACACGGAAGTCATTTACGGCATCATTTACCTCCACCTCGTAACGTTGTGTTGATTTGAAAGTGACACATCAATATTTCTCAATTGTGCTTCGCATATCATCGATTCCCTCTGTACGTGGGGTCTGCCCCTTTTTTTTTTTTTTTTGATCAGTAACATAGAATTATACTATTTTGTTTCGTCTCCATCGTATCTGTCTTGTTAAAGGCCACGCGATTTGAAATTACCGTGGCTGAACATTCGCAGTGGTTTGACACTGAATGAAGTTGGAAAGACTATTTGCATGCATAAGTTGCATCTTTGTTTGGCCTGTTGTAGAGGATTTAGATCATGGCGTGCAAGAAATACATCAACGCAAGAAGAGGGTAAAAATGTAGTACTTGAAACCTCCTTCTGGGTGCAGGTTACGCAATGTACCTAGTACTGTGAATCGTTAACCACTCCCTCTAAAAACACAGGTTACGCAATAAAAATGATAACGGCTTACTGCTCTCCCACAGTTGAGTACCAAGTACTCAAAATAGTTGAATATTTTTGCTAAACACAGGTGCACATTAAAGACCCTAGGTAGTCGAAATTCGCGGAGAATCATATGGTGGTTTTACGACATTAAACCTCGTTAATGAATAAAAATATAGTAATAGCATGGTAATAGTATAGTAAGGTGTGGGAGAGGGAGTCGATGGTGAGGAGGGCAAAAGAAGGAGATCAACGCCACCAGCTCCGCACCTTCTTAGTTTGGACTGTGCGCAGCTGAGCTGCGCCCAATTTAATTTTCTTTGTGACGTCGTGGGCTTCGCCGGGCTTCGTCAGTAACGGTTCAGTTGTCACGACATACTCCATACTTTGACCATAAATGTGGCCCTTTGAAAACGGTTTTATACAGAGAAGAAAAAAATTAAAAAAAATTTAGAAAAGGTGTAACGATTTAGAGTACATAGTATACTCTACTATGGGAGAGCATAATGCCGTCCCGACACTCAATGTGTTTAGAAAAAAATGTAACGATTTCGAGTACTTCGTACTCAACTATGAGAGAGCACTGAGCCGTCCCGATAAAAGCCCATTACTATTTCTAAGCAAAACACTACAAAACAGACACTAATGACTATGCGTTTAGAAAAAGTGGTTAACGATTTAGAGTACTCGGTACTCTACTATGGGAGAGCTGAAAGCCATCCAGTGGGCCTATATCATATGCTTCGATGTGTTTAGAAAAAGTGGGTAGCGATTTAGAGTACCAGGTACTCTACTATAGGAGAGCAGTAAGCCATTTGCGGGGGGGGGGGGGGGTTAGAAAATGTGGGTAACGATTAATAGTACTTGGTACTCTACTATGGGAGAGCTTAGAGCCGTCCCGAGTAAGCCATTGCTGGTTAGAAAAAGTTTATTCTTTCATGGGACGCAACAAACCTAAGAGACAAGCGTCTGTATAACAGGCAAACATCAACCTATAGTTGCCGTTGAAGCCTACGAAACAACGTGATCCATTTTCTAGCCCGTTGTATCTAAAAACCTGCGTAGAGATCCGAATGATGGACTGAACTTGACCCGATATATTGTCATTCAAGTTGGATTGAACGTGACACTACTGTGAAGATGTAGCTCCGAATCGCCCTAAGAGTGTTTCCTTTAAAGAAATATCCAACATTCCAGCATGTGGAAAATATCCATCATGTGGAATGATCTTCCCGACGATATCGCCTCTGATAGCAACCCCAACACGTTTCGGCAAAAAGTTCAGACGCATTTCCTTAATATTTCATCTTGACGTTCTTTTACTTCTTTTCCGAGGGTTTTTATGTCACGGAGTGTTCTTATATACTTCATCGCCATGTTTACGTATTGCTGACTTATTGCTTTGTTAATTTTTTTTTGTTATTACTAACCGACATTGTACCGTTTTTATTTTGAAATTTACATGCGATTTTTCACTGTAACCCCCCTTACTCAATGCCTTCTGGCCTGTAAGGTATTTTCAATAAATAAATAAATAAATGGTAACAGTGAGTTGGTATGTAGTTGCAGTGGCGCAGTCAGAATTCCTTTTTTACGAAAGGGGTGGGGAGTTTAACCATGATTTATGTATGTTGGTGCATGCGGTTGTGTGTGTGTGTGCGTATGTGTGTGTGTTTGTGCGTGTGCAAAATTTAACAATTTCGGAAACAAGAAACTTACCCTCCCCCCACCCCCGCTTTGGCTGCGCCAATGATAGGTCATGACGAGAGAGAAAAATTATGGTTGGTTCCTATATAACACGAAAGCAAAACGTGCCCTAACAGAAGCAGTTGAATATTTGGATACACAACACCCTAGACACAATTCGAGGTACTTTTCTTCGATGAACCTTAAGAGCGGCATTTACTTTACGACATTTTCTTGTAATAATATAAGATAGCCTGCACAATGCCTATTGGTGTTTGAAAGCTAGAGCACTATTTAATACTGGTTGCGATTTTTTGCAAACTATCGACGCTAGTTGGTGTAAGCCCAGCAGAAAGCAGGCTATAGTTCGATTTTACGGCCTAGCGCTTACGCTTTCGTCCAATCGAAGTGGCCTGAAGACAGTTCTATATCCGTCCCATCTGACCTAATGAAGTTTCCGTGCGTTCTATGTCCGTTCTGTACCTGGCAAACGACGAAATGATTGACAGCACAGCCTTTGCCCGTTGCTATTCTCACGTCTGACCATCAGGTGATCCTCAACCGAACAGCGCGACAAAACGTTTTATCCTAAAATGTGGTCAAGATCGCGCACCCCTATTGACCGTTCCTAAAGCTGTTGTTGTTGTTGTTCTATTGTTAGTGGCGCAACCCACTGTGGGGTATTGGCCAAGAATCGTGTCGTTTTAAAATTTACTGTTCCAATTTGGAATGATGGAGGTATAACAGAAATATTACCGATAGCCTATAGGAAAGTGTGGTGCTTAAGGTAATGCATACAAATATTTACATAAACAAATTTATTCTTAGAATAGAGCAATAATCTGATTTTATACATATATAGTTATGTGGACATGTTAAGATAATGAAACTGGTTAATTAGTCAACCTATTAGTTTCATCTATATAGTCCCGGACGGCCGCGCATACTGTCGCATTAGAGAAACCAGAAATGGTATCTCCGAAAGACAAAATGACTTAGAGTTGCTCAAACACGCACGTGGCGCATCCCCATGACATAATTCTAACGCATTTTCCAACGCAGAATACCATGGGTGATGTGATCTAATTGCCTAAATCACGGCTTCCATTGCTCCAGTGCTTCAACGTACCCGAGTCCGACGACTACGGCCTGGTAGCCATCTGGGTAGCTGGCCTGGTACCCGGAATGTTGGTAACTGGACGGCTGATAGCCAGTTTGGTAGCCGGTCTGGGAGGCGACTTGGTACGGTTGGGCGTAAGAGGTGTGGTACGTGAGCGGGTAGTTGGGGTACACCATGGAGTACGGGCTACCCACAAAGTAGCTCGTGGGTAGTGACGTCACAGACAGGCAGAACAGCCCGAGCAGTAGCACCGCTGAGATCTGCAACGAAGTGACCAAAAGAAATTTTATAGGCAACATTAATTGACTTACATACACATGTATGAGGGCACTTGTATGAAAACGAAGCAAAACATGGAAAGCGAAACTCATGTTAAGAGTAAATACTATTCGATATTTGTGTCGTCACATGAATGTTCATATTGCGCGAGTTGCAATATATTTGGCCCTAAAAAAGTAAGTAAAACGTGTTACGTCAAGGTCGCCACGTGCATAGATTGGATAGAAAAAAATATTCGAAGCCCGAAAATTCAGTAAATACTTCACGAACATTCTCACAAATTTGCTACAGAATCGCCTCGCAATGCAAAACAGCATCGAGGAATGAGTGAGTCGTTGGGAAAGAAAGCACAAAAAAATAATGAGTTGCGTTTAGATACGTATTACACGTGTGCTTAATAAAGCACCTGTCGTTTCATTCGCACCAGATTACTACTCGACCAGATATACGTAGAATCTAATCGATAAAAAAAGGTGCATCATTCCCTCTGGGTGACAGACCTGGCATACGAAGTTTAGGAAAATGTCATCCAGCCACTGTCGTGAAAATACGAAAAATACATACTGCGATTAGTGACGTCGCGCACGTAGATTACGGCGCGAAATTTAAAAACGAAGCTTAGACCTTGATTCCCTCCTCTAATAACGAACTCGGAGGGCAGTTTTGTAAATCTAAACCAAGTCGATCATTGCCGCTCTTCAGTGTCCCTTTAACGGGAGTCACGTGTGGTGTGCCAGCAGTCAACGGAAAGAGTACGACATTGTAGTTTTTGTTTTAATTAGAGCCTGAAAGTACTACATCTTAGGTTACGAATAGCGTCTGCTGCCCTTCAATCGCATCGATCGAGGAATCGGCGACTAAAATGAGGAAAGTCAGGGAGTCTCTTCTGTGGCGGCTGGCTCAGGGATTCGAACGATCCACGCAGTCAAAGCAATGTGAGTGAAACCTAATACAAGAAGAAAAAGAGGAAGAAAAAAAAAAACGAATCCGTAATACGGATGCCGCGTCCTTGAATGCGCAAGGCCGTGACGTAAAGCGAAACACGCAGCATCGTCAGCTGTGTCGCGGAAATCTATACGTCGCTCTTGCTTCTGGTTTCGTATATAGCTTAAGTCGGCTTGTAGTTTGTTTTTTGTGCATCTTTTCTTTTTCTCACTGTATAATTAATTGGTCAACTGATTGATTTACTGATAATAGATTGTTTGATTAGTAATTGTTTGCCAATTATTTAAATAATTGTTTAACAATGAGTTAGATGATTGATTGATTGATTGAATAGTTGTCCAATCGATTAAATAATCAATCAATTAATTTTTGGATTAATTGAACAACTAATCATATTATTTTATTACTTAAAGTATTGATTAAGTAATTGGTTGATTTATTGTATAATTGATTTATTGTTTATTTTATTGCTTGATTAATCGAATAATTGTTTGATATGTGGAGTTTAACGTCCCAAAATCCCCACATGATTATGAGGGACGCCGTAGTGGAGGGCTCCGGTAATTTCGACCACCGGGGGGTTCTTTGACGCGTACACCCAAATCTGAGCACACGGGCCTACAACATTTCCGCCTCCATCGCAAATGCAGCCGCCGCATCTTTCTTCTTTTTTTTTTTCTCATCATCGCCGAGTGATGATCTCTTGTCGACGACAAGGTCATTTGCTGCACCGAGTGTGCACGTATGGGAATGATATTGAAAAGGGGGTGCTGAACATTTAGAGTAGGTTCCGCGGTACATAAAAGAGATGGGGTCGAATGTAATGTAACCGCCCCCTCCCCTCAAAAGTTAGCTAACCCACCCTGGAGGGTTTTTATGTACCCGTCACGTTTTAAGTGTCACGGTTTTAAGCGAGGCTTCGCATATGTCGGGACGAAACTAATAACAATTGTTGGGGCTGTACGTCCCAGGACTACAATACAAATTATGAGAGACGCCATACTGGAGGCAGACACGTCACCAAGAATGTTTTCCGAGAACGGGGAGGGGGGGGGGGGGGCTTGTTGACCGCTTTGAAAAACACATATTTTAATATTTTCTCGGCAAAACACCTTTTTCCACCCGAATTTCAAGGGAGTATGGGTTTGGTCACCCTCTTCGGCCAGGAGCCTGATTGGAGGCATCCGCAAATTTCGACCATCCTGCCGATTTTCTTTAACGTGCACCTAAATCAAAGCACACGGGCTTTGAGCACTTCGCTTCCATCGAAATTCGACCACCACGACCGGGATTCGATCCCGTGACCTTTGGGTCAGCAGTCAAGGTCGTAAGGTCGCTGCAAAACGCTTAATTATAGCACTCTTTCCGACATTCCAGTTGTGACAGCCCGAGTGTCAACTAACGGCTAGCTGTAACGGTCTCATCAATAACGGGCGATAACGAATCCTGTCCAGTTTCTTTTAAAATAAAAGGGTCAACGATTACCCATCCGATAAATTGGCCGCGAAGAAAATAACGAAGTCTCTGACTCGTGTGATCGAGGTGGTACATGGGCGAACATTTGAGGTGAAACAAACAAACAAACAGAGTAAACGAGCCAGCGACAGGATCATTATATTTGTTGCTTTACGTATTTTCCCCAACCGACGGTCTCAATCAGCAAAGACGAAGAAATAAAACCAAGCGTCGAAGATGAGTCACGTTTGTTTGGGAAAACAAAAACGACAACAATAAATAAAAAAAAACTAGGTATCGTTTTGCTGTACGTGTCAGCGAGTCTGGATGCTTTCCTATGCGATTACCGCGGCCTGTTTCGAAAGTCGGGAAATGTTGCGCCACAACCCTGCAGAGGTCAGCGTCACCGGATTTCCTAATTGATTCCTCGGCGTCTCACAGGCCCCTAAAAATCGAGAAGCCGCTTTTCTTTCTGTCTGTAAATGAAGTTGTGGGATGGCTTACAGCAGGTACAGCAGTGGTCATTGAGGATGCGGAGAGGTCATTAAGGAGGCGGAGAGGATAATCCGCCGGTGAACGACCGGATGAATTCAAGGACGAGGTTTACGTCTCTAAGATAACACCCCCGTACAGACAGTCTTGCTTCGGAGCCCATGCGGCATAATAACGGATTGCGCCGTGTTCTTAACTTACACGCATAGTCCTACGGGAATCCTTAACGAACCGAGCACCTGTTGAGTGGGCCGTCGGACGTTCTATGTCGTTGGCGTGTCCAAGGAAGGGGGAATGCTGTCATTGGCGTGCCCAAACAAAATTGTGCGCAGCTCGCACAATCGGAAATAGTCCCGCTCAAAAAATTGTGACTGCATCTAAAACGCTTATTTGTCGGCATGAATAAGATTTATGTATCGTGAAGAGTACTTTGGTAAAACTGTAATGATGGAAATGCTATACAGCTCATGCCGGATCGCACATGCCGATAAGCAACGTCCCTGACACGTTATGCTAGATTTAAGAAGTGGCATATAAAACACATTTCAATGCTGGCATATCTGAACTGAAACTATTGTCCCCTGATTATCACTCGTGAGCTCAAAATGTTGATTCCGAAAGCTGCACGCTCAGCTATCTTATCACACCGCTTCCAACGATCACTCGTTTGCGCGCCGAGCTGGAAACAACCAAGGTAGCAAGTTCTCCGCCGGCAGGGTCACCGGTCGTCCGGCTCATGACGTCACCTGAAGTGCGCGCCTATTGGTACAGCGGCTCGTGTGCATCCTCCGTTGAAGGGAAAATGGCGCTGCTCTCTTAAAGTGGTACCCGACTACACTTTCCTTCAACAACTGAGCTTAACTCCCGTATTCACAAACGCTCCTCGACTCGACCTTCACCCTTCACTTGAAAGAGTCGAGCACCGCTCCGCACCTCGGCTAAAAATGACGCTGCGCTACTCAAGAATAGCAGAAAATTATCACTGATATGCAGTGACTTGCCCTGCCTAAAGATGGCGCTCCCATCGACTTTCTCTAGTGAAGGTGGAGCGTTGAGTGAAGGGGCGTTCTAGAATACGGGGGTTAGAATAGATCGCCGCGAATCGTACACGCATGACCAATAACTAATTTATTTTCTGACTGCAATTAACATGTGATGTCGTCAGTCCAGCTATAAGCCATGACAGGCTGCAGTGCGTAGAAATAAAAATAGAAAGATAAAAAAGACGCTGACGCGTCATAGATGCACACACTGCCGAGTGACATTTCTGCGAACAATCCAGTTCTAAACTCGAGTGACCCAGGGGCACCACACGCTTGATTTCACGTAGCTGCGAAGAAAACGATAGGGTCGGCTTAAAATACAAGTTTTGTAGCGCTTATTTGCAATGCGCGTTATAGAAAGTCTCTATTACGTCACGCTCAGTGTCAAGGGCGACCAGGATATCATAACCGACAAGCGGTGCCAATCAACAGCCTTGAACGAGCATCCGAAAGATTGACACGTCCTCTGGCTAGAAATCGTAGAACTAGAATATAATAAAATAAAAATACCATTCATCAAGACGCAACAGCCTCTGCGGAAAGGAATGGGCGTATACAGTACAAACTTAGCAGATAGCATCTCAGACGGACCTCACAAAACAACGTCATGGAAAAAAAATGTATGCGCCCAACTCTCTTCTAATTCGCTTCGCAACAAATTCAGCATTATGAACTCGCACTGTTCGAAATGAGTTCGATAAGGAACGGGTTACGGCAGCGGACACCTCGCAACAGCCAGGCGCCACTCTTCGGGACCGTGAACTTTGGACGCGTCATCGATGACGCAAGCGTGCGAGACCACATTAAAGCCTGATCTTTAAACAGACGATGTATCTACTCCCACGACACGATCTCGCAAAATGTGTACAAGAAAACGCCGTGCGTCGCAGAGTATTCGGAAGGAACGGCAACCAGGACAAGATTGCTGGGGTAACGAAAGTTTACTTATGGGCCGGACGCGGATATTCCAACTTTGTACTCCCGAAACGCCAATTGCTTCTTGCGAAGGCCAGGTGGTCTTTCAACAGGACAAGGGTTGTTTTTGTATAGAACTATCCAAAACGAAAACAAAACTAAAAGAAATCACGTTATGTTGCCATGGACTCACTGGTACTTTTTTTTCTATAAAGAGAAAAGCGAAACGCCATGTACAGTGTTCGAAATGAGCACAGGATCATAGCATGGCAACGGTAGTGAGTAGCTCTGTTGCAATCGAAAACGTGCAAGCCGTTGTGACCCTGACCTTCTCGAACCTGAGGTGAGAAGAGAGAACTGTTCGGGACGCAGTTGAAGGGAGGCTTACCGGGGACTGCATCGCGAGTGTAATAACAAGGTCGCAGGTCTTCACTGGTGTCCTTTGTAGACGGAAAGGTTGACTTCAGGTGTCGCAGTGGTGGGAGAAGTCGCTCGCCGACGAGGCCAACTCAGTCGGAATTTCGAGGAGTCGACGGAAGCTCACGGCCGGGACTACGTGACACCGTACGAATTTCCGTCACGGCCAAGAACAGTGCTGCGTATACGAATGAGTTTGGTTCGTCGCCGGGGTCTCTATCCGGCGGATGAGGCCTGGTCATCCAGTTTTGTGGAGGCCCTCACACGGGAGGGAGGTGGCGCGTTGGTTGTGTGTGTCGATGTCTTTGATTCTTTTACGAAGAGGTGAGGAGAGACGCAACCGGACAAACCTGCACGCGGTCGTCCCCTTAGGTCACTGGCTTCTGTACTCTCGCTCTGGCTTGCGAGCACGTAGCACTGCTACAAAAATAAACAAACAAACATAAATACCAGCCGCAACTGAGGTAAACAAAACAGTCCAAAAGAAAGAGACGGACATTGTGAAGGTGGGTTCAAAGATAGATGGGCCCGATACTACGGTGACTCCGTGGTGTTTCGAGTTGGTCTACTTTCATTTGTTTTCATGTTTGTTTTGCGGACCGCCGCATTAAGTGTTGGATGACGTAGACACGTGGAAACCCCCTCAGAAGTTCAAAGGATGCGACGGGTTTTATGCGGATGTGGGCTGAATGCGAGGTTATTTGAGGTTGAAAGTAATGTTGCCATGCCATTCAACTGCGATCGGGAGGACCTGCTGTATCCCGCAAGGCGAGAGGTCAAGTATTGCCCACGAGTCAAGCGTTCCATGAGTCCGGCCCGCAGGTCGCCAGTTGAATCCCGGCTGCGGAGATCACATTTCGATTAAAGCTACATGGTCGATGTTCGTGTATACTAGCTGCGTGATGTCAGTGTCCGGTAAGGAGCGTACATTGAAATTAAGGAACACGCCTGAAGGAGATGGTCGAAATTTCCGGAGCCCTCCACCAGAAGGCGTCCCGTACGACCACATCGTGGTTTTGGGACGTAAGACCCAGATATTAAGAGTTGGATGTCTGCTTGCCATCACTGTTCACTCTTCGACTAAGCCAAAGATGATGCAGCGAGGAATCATATGACGAAGGTTAGGAGTACGGAGATGCAATTTAATGAACTTCTACGCAAAGCACTTCTCAAAGTTTAACGAAAGACATTGAAATGCCCCACGTGAGAGGGCGCAGCGGTTTATTAGTAATTCGAGTTGCTTTATATATAGTATAGCTAAACTTCATATTCGGCCAGATGCTGCGTATAGCTTCCGGGAACACTAAAAGCGCGAAACGAGCAGAATGCGAGTAACGGGACAGGTGCTACCTTTGTGTTACAGAGTGGCGCGGCTATCTTCCAAAAGCTACTAACCACTGTGGTGTAAGTGTGTGTGCTTGTGTGAGTGTCTGCGTGAGTCGAGGTTGCGCCAAAATTTCTAAGTATATGATGTATAACCAACTAGCCCAACAACAAGTTTTATTAAACCACTGTGCATTGCGGAAAAGCTGATGTTTCGGGTCACATTTTGTATTCGAATTGATACTGTTCGTCCCCATTCGACTTCATCGCTGGTTGGTGACACACCAGGCATGCCGATCATCGTCACGCTATGGGCATGTCGCACGCCACCAAAAACGGACGTGCCCATAGCACGTCGATAGTTATACGGAAGCCAAGTATGGATACGCGAAATGAAAATTCGTCCGTGTTGTGTATACGGAAAACCTCCTGCACATATGTGCCACAGAAATCCGGCAACACACATCCAAAACAAAGAAGTGAACGCAACGGTATCATCATCATCATCATCATCATCACCATCATCATCATCATTCTAACTACGTTCACTGTAGGACAAAGACCTCGCCCATGTTCCGCCAATCAACCCGGCCTTGTGCTTTCTGCTGTCACGTTAAACCTGCAAACTTGACCTCATCTGCCTACCTAATTTTTTGTCTCCCTTTTACGCGTTTGCATTCTTTTGAAGTCTAGTCAGTTGGCCTTATAGGGCAACTCCGACGATTTTCCGGTCAGGGCAATGGTACTTCTATGTTCTTTAGACGCTCTTGTCCCGAGCCCGATAGCTGAAATGCGTAGCGTATTCGAAAATGATTTTTAATTAGCAAAAAAGCCGCAATACCGAAACCAAAGCCCAACCGAGCTCAATGCCTACGTATGACAAACAATTTGCTAAAGGTCGGAAATCGCATAGTGGTCCCGCCGGTGCGGAGTATGAAAACAAAGCCGGGACGAGCGGGCAGTCGGAGCAAAGGCGAAGCGCGCTGAGCCGCAGATGAAAAACTCCACAGATGAAGAAAGGTGCCCAACACCACCGCCGTCGCCACCTTGTGGCCAGGGCAGTAAACGCTGTAGCGGGCAAAGTTAGCGATGCTATCGGCAGCGTGACATCCGTTTATATGCCAATCATGACGTCACGCACACAAGTTTGCCAATTCTGGCAAACTGCAGGTGAGCGTTTAGAGGCAACTTTCAAAATTCATTTGCAAACAACCCGTGCATCTCTGAAGCATGTAATTTGGCGTAAATTACGGAAATGCGCAAAGGAATGTACCCAGCGAATTTCATTCAGACCCATGGACCTAAAAAAAAATCGCTGGAGTTGGCCTTTAATGACCAGCGGTTATCCTGCCTACGTGCTACGTGCATGGTTCATGTTCATTTCTTCTTGATTTCAACTGTAGATATCCTTAACCTCGGTTTGTTCCCTGATCCATTGTGCTCTCTTCCTGCCTTTTAAGGTTACGCCCATAATTTTCCTTTCCATCACATGCTGTGCCACCCCCAGCTTAATTTGAACTCTTCATAAGCCTCCAGGTTCTTGTTCCGTAGAGGTAAGTACCGGCAAGATGCAGTTGTTATATACCTTCCTCTTCAGCGATAGTGGCAATCTATCAGTCATGATTTGACAATGCTTGCCCAATGTGCTCCACCCCATTCTTATTCTTCTAGTTATTTTATTACCATGGCTTTCTCCAGTTACTATTTGTCCCACGTAAACCCATTCCTTTACAACTTTCAGTGTCTGGGTCGCCAATCAAGACCTATGTGCAGACGTAAGCAATAATTTAAAAAGAAATTATTGAACCACCGGGGTTAACGTAGTGATAAACACCGGGACCGCACGATTCAGTTACTCTGGTTAACGATCTGTACGGAGTGCTCGGGCGGCGATTTTTCATATCGCATCACCATTCGTCAACGCATCTCGTGTTTTCTATGTTTCTTCTAAGATTGGGTGTTTTGGACCTTTAAACGTCACATCTTCAGAAATGGCCATGCGGTGAATCGAACCCTTATTCCGTTTGGCCAACGTTAACAAAATTTGTTGCGTTAGCATATGTCGTCACTTGTGCAACATGAACTCCCGAGTAGGAGTCGCCACTAAGAGATGATTCAGTTGGAGATTAAATCTCTTGCGGGGCTACCAGCGTCATTCCACTTGCAATCGCCAAAGCGAGTTTTGAAACACTACATACTGATACTGTTTCTTGCCAAGCTTGATTTATCGCCCTGCCTTTTCTCTTTATTAGTCTCTCTCTCTTTCTCTCTCTCTCTCTCTCTCTCTCTCTATTTAGTGCTCCCACCAGCCGCAAATGCGATCTTTAAGGTAACAAGTGCGTATTATCGATGCGTCTGCTGACGGACTTCTATAATTAGAAGTTGCATGTATATCGGGAAGTAGTGACGTGCTATACGGGCACAGAATACAAAACAGGGAGCGTAAATCGGAAGATAAGCTCGATGGCGACACGTGCCGATGCGACACGCCGAGAGAGAAGGAAAGAAAACGTATTGAAAACGAATCGAGGAATTTCCGCTTCAGACATTCTCGCAGCCTTGACCGTGCACTTGACAGAGAGGAGTTGACACGTGCGCCATTAGGCGAATATACCAAGGTGCGCTAACACCTTGGCGTATGTGTGCTGTGCAAAGCCCAAATCTCTATTCTCGTACTACTACTATTTTACTACTACTACTACTACTATACTACTACTACTACTCTACTACTACTACTACTACCACTGCTGCTGCTACCACCACCCCTGCTTGCACTGTTGCGTTTATTGACCACTACTACTACTATACTACTACAGCTGTTGTTGCTACTGCCACTGTTACTGCTACATGCTTGCAGTGCCATACTTACTTTTACTACTACACTACGGCAACTATTACCGCTACTTCTGCTACTACTATCACCACCGAACTACAATTACTACTACTACTACTACTACTACTGCATCTATTATGTGAAGATTTATTGATATGTGGGGTTTAACGTCCCGAAACCACCATATGATTATGAGAGACGCCGTAGTGGAGGGCTCCGGAAATTTCGACCACCTGGGGTTCTTTAACGTGCACCCAAATCTGAGCACACGGGCCTACAACATTTCGGCCTCCATCGGAAATGCAGCCGCCGCAGCCGGAATTCCATCCCGCCACCTGCGGGTCAGCAGCCGAGTACTTTAGCCACTAGACCACCACGGTGGGGCTATTATGTGAAGATTTACGCACTTTTGGGACATGGTACTGAATACTTTTCAGTACTTCAGTACTGTAAAGGTTTGAGCAGGTACATCATAAAGGGAAAAAAAAGCAACCTTCACGCCATCTCATACATTAAATATCCCTGAAGAATATCGGGTCCTCTATTTCAGTTAGTTGAAAACCCTGACCTCGCCACTTTTCCCTAAAAGTACCACGTGACTCTGATAACGGGGATGCATATCTGTTCATGATCTCGAAGTATGACCGAAGTATGATCTCGAAGTGATTATCGATATCTCGGACAGGAAAAAAGTAAGTCAAATAATTTATTAGAAGAAAAATTGTAATCCCATATGAAGTAACGACAACACAAAGACGCACTTTGCGCGAGCCAGCTGACGAATCGCCATAATGTTTTTGTTTATCATGCTATTCTCATAGCACACGCGACTGACAAGATGTCAAAGGTTACGTATGTATGACCCTGTGGGTATGCCAAGTTGGCTCCCATTGAAGTCGGAGTCGATTCCCGGCTGAATGCCAACGTCGTAAACTTTACGTCGCAATGCGCGCACAGAACATGCAGCCTCAAAGAGAATGTCCACGTGTACTTGAGTGAGGCACGAATTCGAACAGAGTTCTGCAAGGCTGCGGAACGTCGCCAAAGGCTTCGCAACTGTGTCACTTACTCGCTCGATAGACGATAGTTCTTCGGCTGTGAGAATAAACGCCCCATCAACACACTCGAGTTGAAGTGAGCTTCGTCCTACAGTTGCTGCATGGACTAAAGAATGATGACCAAACGACAATTGAACGTACACTAGCGAGCAAAAGTACACCGGCCACGAGAACACATGCCGACACT